CCAGAGGATTCCAAATATTTTGCATCCATTTCAATGCAAAAAGATGCAGCATTTGATTTCACCATACAACAGTAAAACTTTTATTCTATGCAGCAGCATTCCTTAATACATATGGTGTAGACTGTGTGATACAGGAAACAGGCATGAGGGAAGACAGACGTTTATGAAATCTGTGGTCTAGTGATGTAGTTTAAAAAAAAAAATGAAACAATCCCTAAGATAGAAGGATTTTCCCATTGTTAGCAGTCCACTCACATGTCCAGCTGTTGAACATCTGACAGGCAGATGACCTATTCATTTCAACAAGGGAGAAATCACTTTCCTCATCTTATAGAAAAGATCAAAATTCAAACAGGGTTTGAAATATTTTTGTCTTCTCCCTCCAGCACTGTCTAAATTACCTTTTAAAATACTAAAGAGCAGAGATACACATTAAGTCATTTTCTTAAGGAAGTTCCTAACAAACGTCAGACTACTGGTAACTGATTAGACTTAATGAAGAAAAGTACTTTAAATATAAGTAAGAATTAAACAATAAGAATTGCTATCAGAATAATCTTTAATGTCATAAATTTCCCTTCCCCCCAAGAACAGTATGTTATAAAGAAACAACAGCTCAGAAGCAGGGCTCTACTGCACATCTGCAACATCTGAAACTCACCTGGGTTTCATTTCCAAATGCAGAACACAGCTCAAAGCCTGTCCCCAAAACAACATGCTAACCAAGAACTGGACTGAATTAAACATCAGATCCTCAACACACTGGGTTTCCAAATGTCAACTGCTATCTTAATTCTAGAGTGTTCATGTTTGGCAGCTAAAGCAAAGGAAAACTTATTTCAATTCTACTCCAAAACTTCATGTACAAAAAAAAAAAAAAAGTGAAAACAAAATCCTATTTTTGTTTTTCTTTTACACAAACATGGCAGTCTTTATTTAGATGAACAGATACATGTTAAATATCTTCACTGATGATCTGGATGAGGGGATTGAGTGCACCCTCAGTAAGTTTGCAGACAACACCAAGTTGGGTGGAAGTGTCAATCTGCTGGAGGGTGGGAAGGCTCTACAGAGGGATCTGGACAGGCTGGATAGATGGGCCGCGCCCAACTGTATGAGATTCAGCAAGGCTCAGTGCCGGGTCCTGTGCTTGGGTCAAAACAACCCCATGCAACATTACAGGCTTGGGGAGGAGTGGCTGGAAAGCTGCCCAGCGGAAAAGGACCTGGGGGTGTTGGTCGACAGCCACCTGAACATGAGCCAGCAGTGTGCCCAGGTGGCCAAGAGGGCCAATGGCATCCTGGCTTGTATCAGAAATAGTGTGGCCAGCAGGACTAGGGCAATGATCATCCTCCTGTAATTGGCACTGGTGAGGCCGCACCTCGAATACTGTGTTCAGTTCTGGGCCTCTCACTACAAGAAGGTCATTTTGATGCCGGAGCGTGTCCAAAGAAGGGCAATGAAGCTGGTGAAGGGTCTAGAGCACAAGTCTTATGAGGAGAGGCTGAGGGAGTTGGGGTTGTTTAGTCTGGAGAAGAGGAGGCTGAGGGGAGACCTTATTGCTCTCTACAACTACCTGAAAGGAGGTTGTAGCGAGGTAGGGGTTGTTCTCTTCTCCCTAGTAACAAGCGACAGGACAAGAGGAAACGGCCTCAGGCTGTGCCAAGGGAAGTTTAGGTTGGATATTAGGAAAAACTTCTTCACCGGATGGGTAGTCAGGCATTGGAACAGGCTGCCCAGGGAAGTGGTTGAGTCTCCATCCCTGGAGGTATTTAAAAGAAGGGTAGACGTGGTGCTCGAGGACATGGTTTAGTGGTGGACTTGGCAGTGATAGGTTAACGGTTGGACTGAATGATCTTAAGGGTCTTTTCCAACCTTAATGATTCTGTGATTCTATGTATATTATAAACTTGTATCATCCTGAAATTACTGGCTTTCCAGCCAAATATACACGGAGCATGTCACATTCTAAGACGTCACATTGCTATTATTCAGCAGTTGATATTCTTCAGCAACTTGACTGTGAAGAAATTTGCAGGATCATAACCCTCTTTTGAGCTGTACACAGCTCGCCTGACTGGGAAGAAAAGCTGTATATATGCCCAAGGCCATCCCTATCCTCTAGGTTGTGCTGATTAAGGGAAGCCATGCTAACCATGACAGTGAGCCTTTCCCAGTGCACCTTCCCTGGCTATTCTGGAATTCACTTCTAAACTCCAAACCAAACTAGGACACTATAAAGAAATTATATTCCACAAAATATCACACAAACCAAAATAGGAATTGATCCATTAATCAATACACATGTACCCTTCTTCACATCCAAGGTTGTGTCAGGGGCACCTACCTGCCTGAGTTGTTCTGGCTCAGGTATTTTTGCATTGCTCCACACTGCAGGGTACAAGTCACTCTCAGCCTCTTCGCATAAGAAACCTTCCTTTCTCTTGTTGGCTTAATCTTTTTTGAACACAGGTGACCAGATTTAAATACTGTGTTTTGGGTGACTTTTCACCACTATTTCAACGTAATAGCATTAATATTTCTCTATCCCTTAATGATCTCATCTGACTAACATAAGTTATTCCGATGCTATGGTGTGTTTTTACAAATTTTTCTTAATCAGTGGAAAGCCATCTATCAAACACACCTGGCTTTGACTAAAACAGAAGAACTATATTTCATGGGCTAACTTTAGCTCCCTTGTATCTTGCTTGGGCTTGCATGTGTCAGCAGCTGAAGCTCAAGCTAACTTTTATACCTGCAGATTACTACAGCTGAGAAAAAAACCCACTAGATTTCGGATGAGTCATTTTAGGTTTTCCAGACATTGTCAGGTTTAATGGGAAAAATATATTAGCAATAAAAAAAATTCAAAAGCATTTCCTCTTGTCTGCAGCAAATACAAAAATGGCCCAAGCACTATATACCATGACACATCAACCATCAACATAGCATCTTCGAATGGGAATGGTTTCCTATTATGCATAGGAAAAACCTCATCTTCTTTAACACATTTCCTTATTGACTCTTTAAAAAGTCAGCTCCTGTTGCTATATGTACTCCAACGCTTTACCAAGCAGCGGGAAAGGAATCAAGAGGCAATAAAAAAGGGTAAGTGTCAGTCAGGCATCTCACTAACTCTTCCTTTCTGCATTTTTGCCATAGTTGTCATTTGTATTTGATTTGGAATTTCTTGCTGTTTATATATTAAATCAGAAAAGATCATCTTTTCTATAGATATTGCTTAACTTTTTTTTAGTCAGATGACTTAGTCTGTCCTTTTAAGATGTCTACTTTAAAAAAAGACAGCTCTAGTAGATTTCTTGAAAAATAACAGATGAGTATCTAGATTCAGACCAAAGATATTCAGACTAACTACTTGCTAACAAAGACATAGGAGATTGTTAAGATTCATATTTCAGCTTCTCTGTGATGAAGCTTATAATTTTATGTAGCATTAATCCAATTTTAAATATAGGAATGTCGTATTTAGATCAGGAATCTAAAGCTGTCTAACTTTATTTTGAAAATCTAATTACATAATCCTTGTAAGTAAATTGAGGCAAATTAATTTAAACCAAAATCAATCCATTTTTCCTACAATTTTAGTCTTTATTAAATGAAACTTCCTAGAGAAAAAAAAAAAATAGTCTCAACTTATTTTAAGTTTCTAAGAGGAAAAACTTTAAGAGGAAAACATTATTTTGAAGAAATTTTTTTCCAAATTCCATTCCACATTAGTATAATTTAAGCTCCTTATCACCTTAGTATGTAAAAACCTCTTTTACTCCGTATTTTTTGTTGTTAATACGTCTGTTCTACCTGCTTGCTTTTTCTCAGGCTTTGTCCAGTCCAATTTTAATATCCTACTCAATGTGCTTCTAATGCTTGCCTGCAAACAAAGTTATACAACTGTTTTCACCTTATTCAGTTAAAAAGGAATTTTCTTTAAGTGGACAGTGTATAAAAACCCAACACTTCTTACAGTATCTGCCATTCTCCAAGTAGTATCCAAGGCAATATACAGGCAGATATTTTTGCTTCAATATTTACTTATTGCAAGTGAATTGGAAAAAAAAAGAAAATACATTTTAATTATGGAATGTATTAAAATCATAAAGAAAGATGGTTTCAAGATTGGAAATTGCCCAACCTGTGCAAAGGAGTTTGTATTTCAAATTCCAATCCGGTCCCAAGGCTAGATATATATTTTTAAATGCAGAGAAGTAGTAGGAAATACAGGAAGGGAATAGCTTTAGAGGTTTTTAACTGCCAAATAGAAGGCACTAAGATGGAAGACTAGTGGGATCCACTCTACAGAAGTGGGAATGACATAGCAAAAGGGATAATTACCTGCTAGCCCAAAGCATGGTTATTTAATCCCTAAAAGACAAGCAGTACCAGATACACACAATTTCAAATTCTCTATTCATCCAAATCTTAAACTGTATGTTCTCAGAGATGCATGAAGCCACAAGGCAGCAAAAAAGAACTTTTTGCCACATAAAAATATGTACTTCCTGGTTAGAATCTTGATACTCTCAGGAAGAAGATTTTTAGACATTTACAATTATTCAGTCTCTTAAGCCCAATTTTGAAAACTGACTTCAACACACACATTTTAACACTAGAACTATGAAGATACAGAAACAGAATCAAAATCTTTGCCTAAAACTAACCTGGGTTTTACTGTCATCTCCTGGTGACCTTCTGTTCCAGAACTTTGAACAATAATATATTTCATTATTGATTATGAAGGAAAAGCAATGAACCAGAGACAAAATGGAAGCACTGTGCTCTCTCCTAGTTGCATTTATGCTACTTAAAGTCAGGAAGAAAGGCTCTGTGGGAATACAGAAAGCTAAAGATTTTCTTCCAAAAACCTAAACCTCACGAGTAAACCTGAGAAAGAAATACCTGTGTTGTAGTTCTGCATTTAGAAACAGGCTAATGAATCATACTGACCAGACTATTATTCTTATTCTCTGGGTAGTTGAAGCATGAACACGACAGAATTCATCACTGTTGCAGGATTTGCCATATCATTGCTGTTTCACATGACCCAAACTGAAGTCTGTCCTCCCTCCTGCAACTGTAAGTCACTGGGAGAAATGAAGGGTTTGCATATAGACTGCAGCTCAAGGAAGCTGACGGAAGTGCCTGCCTTGCCCGTTAACACCAAGAGGCTTTATCTACAGAACAACAGCCTGACCTCCATTCCTCCTGGTGCCCTGGACAGCTTGCGCAGCCTGGAGGAAGTGAAAGTATTTGACAATCCTTGGAACTGTGACTGTCATATTCTGTATCTAAAACTCTGGTTAGAAGACGTCTCTGCACCCTCTCTTGCAAACATCAGATGCGCAACCCCAGCTCCTGTGAGGATGAAGCCCTTGAGGCAGCTGACCGGGAATGAGCTGGGGATTTGTAAAAGGCTTCTCCCAATCAAGTGTCTTGAGTTCTTTTGGCGAGACCTCATTTTAATTGCTGGAGCAATAATTACACTTATTTTAGTAGCATGGGCTCTGAAAGTCTCAAAAAAGCTGGTCTGCCAAATGAACCTAAGTCAATATGACTCTAGGGGCTGACTGTTGGGGAGGCATACCTCCAAAAACCACAAGACACAATGAGCTGTTCACTACCACTAGCTTGAACAGAAACATCAAACTATTTTACCACAAAAAGCACGTGCACTGGCAACACTAGTTTTAATGGTGAACACGCTACAAATAGATCCAGGGGCTCAAAGTCTGGGTCCTCAGATAGGCAAGTTTGATTTAATCTCCTTTCAAAAATAAGCTTCGTGATGTATTGACAGGCAAGCTTCATTCTGCTGCCGTCTACTCATTTGAAAAGCAGTTTCTAAATTTTTAAAAATCATTTAACTTAGCATTTTTCCACTGAATTCTCAGCTCTTACAGCAAGATTTACATCCCCAAATCCTACACTTTTTAATATACGGACATGAACACTGATTGTACTATTTTAGCAATTCTTTTCTCACTCGGAAGCTGTGTGAGTTTGCAACCGATTTCCCCCCTCACAGTGTCCCAATGGGCTTGGTAGGACCATTCTGGTGTGCAAAAAAATTCAACCATCTCTTCCCCGGGTTCAGGAGTTTCCTGCCAGCAAAACCACTATGATTGTATAGGCCAGCCACTGAATGTATCCCTTATTGAATACATTTAAAGAGGGACTCGTAATGAGAATATAGTCAGTAAAAATAATTTTAAATATTGTTGAATTTCCTAGAGAGTGAACAATAAAAAAGCTTTGTATGTGAAATTGAAATAATGGATGCTTATTGAACATTCATACTCACCCAAGTTTGATCTCTTTCACAATTCTATACACTTCTGATTAAAATCCTGAGAAATTTCCAGAGCTTGTCTTCCAGTTTTACTACAGACATTTGATAAACTGGATTTTATGCAACAGTTTTGAAAAGGATGTACTCTCTTCCCTTCTCTTCTTGTGCCCCTCATGCTCATAGAAATTGTTGTGGTGACTCAAGCATATTGCTTTCTCCCTAACCTGATTATTCACAAGACTCCAAGAACAGCAATTCATGCTGTGACCCCATCTGGTCTGGTGAAGTTAGGCTAGTTAGATGGGAGATCTCTGAATGTCTTCTAAAATTAATACTACTGTTGGCAGTTCAATTTAAGACACATTTTGCAAATGCTCCTCCTAGCCTCAAACCTGAGCTAGGTATTAAAGGTTATCTGCTGAAGACGCTAAAGACTGCTTAGCTCTTTACCTAGCACCTTGACATATGAGTGGGATTCCTTGTTAAAGCGTGTAATATCCCTAGCAAAGCTGGTGGTTTTGCAATTACCATGTGCTGTCACTTCTATAAGATGAGACTCATTCCTATCCACAAACACCCACGTCAAAGACAGCAGAAGCTCACAGGGATATTTCCAGGTCCCTCTTGCCCCTGCCAAAGCACCTCAGCAATACAGAGTCAAACTGTCAACGCTGACTGCTGGCAACATTCTCAGACAGCTTTACAAGAGACATGTTACCGTCTGTAAAACAGCTTCACTGTTGGTCCTCCCTCTCCTGCACTAGCAGGGAAAGGCCAATCTGAGACATCACCACTTGTCAACCTAAATTGACTCCAGTTCAGGATGAGTCACTTGCCCCTCTCTGTTTCACAAGGAATGGCCACTGAGTACGGTGGAACTGCTGAAAGAACGTCTGAAGCGCAGATAGATTTGGGGAATGGATACGCACCATGGGTAGAGGGTGACACGATTTAGTAATAAAGTCTAGCATTAGATTGAGAAAAGGAAAGGAATAGAGTCAGATGTAAAATAATTAACGATCTGGGAGACAACATGCTGATTGCAATGTTTAAGTCTGCAAATGATACACAGTGGGGAACCAGAAGAGGGAAGTCATACATGCAAAGAGCGGTGGGTTACTTGGAGTGCCAAGCAACCGAAAGCAAGATCGTACATCTAGATGTATTTATCACTGCTGATGCATTTGGCTTTTATCTGAAAAAAACTCTGAAAAGGGGAAAGCTGGAACTGCTAACTGAAGGTTCAAGAGCAACATTCAACTGTTTATCTGGCAAGGCCACTATGTCATGCTAAGCCACATACTCCACCAAATTGCATAAATAATGCTGCAGTTGCTAACAACGTGCAAAGACAGGAAAATATGTCAGCTATCTAAATGAAACATGCAGACAGCAGTCCCAAAGGAGTTCGTAAAGATCCTAGAAAGTGTTACTTTATCATGCCTGCAAGAGTGCAAACTAGTGAATATATCTGTTTTCACATTCTTTGGTAACATAGGTATAACTGCTGGGATTAATTGCAACTAAAAAGTTATGAGGTTTGGTTCAATATTTAGCAAGACAAGTAATCATACTCAGAACTATTGAGCAAGAACAAAAAAGTATTTTTAAACAGTTCACTGTAATACACAGAGTAGATTTGTGTAAACTGCAATTCTGTGTGAACTGCACTTCAATTAATGTGGAAAATATTTGCGGGCTTCATTTATTAAATTGAATGGTAGGTGAATCACCTTTTTTCTTGAAATGCTCAAGATTTTCTTAATGTTGTAGCAAAAAGTATTGCTCAATCTGAACAACTTCTGTTTAGCTTAATGCTTTCTTTCTGTCTAGGATCTACAGTTAGAGTTTATTCCAGATCCATTGTTTGAGTTCATGCATGAGAGAAGTTTGCTGCTTTTTTCTTTCTTTTTTTTCCCTCCCATTTGACACTAATAAATGTACAGCATTGTTTAGAAAATAGCTACCAATGCTTATGTGAATGAACACAAAGGGAGGCTTAGAAACTAGGCACGTTGTTGTGACCTTACAATTCCATCCCACAGTCAACCTAATTCAAATGCTACTGAAGGCAGTGGCAGACTCTTCCTGGTTTTGGAACATGTAATGTCCATTCACAGTTGAAACATGCAGACATTTCATTTCAACAGGTCTTACAACATTTGACTTCCAAGTCTTCCAGTTCCCCCAAACTTGATGTCACAGCGTCTTGCATCCATGACAAGCATTGTCATGTGTTCGTGTTTCACCTTTTGGCAGTTGGTTTCTAATGTATTTGGATTTTTTTTTTCACTTTTCCATTAATTCAACTGGGGAAAAAAATCTTTAGAACGACAGGATAACTCCTACTAAAGCAAGTGCAATATACTTAAGTGACTAGTGCCTGAAATTTCAGTGTAATAAATGGTGGCTACAAACATACCCTTATTAAAGGGCACACAGTGTAGGATGTCAGCCTGAAACAGAGAGGTAAAAATCACCAGTTTTGCTTAAAATAAAAAAAAAAAAAACTAAAAAAAAATTAAAATCTATTCTCTATATATAAGCAGGCTGCTCAGGTATCTTCACAAAGACATAGGTGTCTCACATGGCTCTCTGATGAAACATGAAAGAAAAAAGAACTTATGCACATACAGGGTATATATGTGCTTTTTTTATTTAAGGTATACTTAAACCACTTCCTTGGGTAATATTATCCCTTATGATGACTTACAGTCAATTCTAAAGAAACTAACCTTTACACCCTCTAGTGCTGTCTAATGGTTGAAATTTTTCATACTCCCTTTTTGCCCTCACTGTTTATTTGTTGTCAAAAAGATCATCATCAAAACAATGAGCCACAAATACTCTTGGACAGAGTAGATTATTATTGTTCAGAGCTTCCCTGTGTATCCACTCCCAAAAGGAGAAACCTGTTTTCATTAGGTATATCATTAAGCTGTTTGCAGTTATTTTTTGTAAAGCTAGAAAAGAAAACCAGTCTGCATTGTAGCCTTATTTTAAATTCCCTACTGTTTCAAAACCTGGCAAAAAAAAAAAAAAAAAAAAGGCATCTCAGTGGAAAACTAACGAATTTTAGAACAAAATTTGGTTATTACATTGCATGGGTTTTGGCTGAAGATCCTTAATTCAGTTTCTGGAAATGGAATAGAACAACTTTTCTAATGATATCATTGCTAGATGAGGCAATTATTTCATTCTTAAACAAACAAAAAAAATGTATCTAGTTCTTCTTTTTCCATTTTCATTTATTTATGAACATCTTTGAGCAGTAAAATTAATTGCAGGCTACCAGATTATCCATTGACACAACTCGTTTCTTGAAAGTTGCACATTTATTTACATGACTTGTGTTCACTACAGTAAACCAGTAAGGAAGAGGTCTTGCCACATAACAGAATAGTTTACATAGATCTGTGCTGTAATAGACTAAAAATCCTCTAATCCCTCACTCATGACTTCGATATAATTATATCCACTGCTGATTAATATCATTATGAGTGAATAGATGAACAATAAATGGTTACTGTTTCATATAAAATAATGTGATTATTTTACTCCATCACATTATTAGTGTGATGGAGTAAAAACTCCATCACGACACTCAGAACCATCCCCCTGCCTTATGGCACTAACAAGTCATCAAGATGGAGCAAAGGAAGAGACAACCCTTCCAGACCACCATGGGACACACATTTCACAGCTAGGCTGTGAATAAGTGTGTTATCCATCTTTTTGCTGAAGAGACAACTACAGTGTCCAAGTCTAGCATTTTAGGTCTTTTAAAACCTCCTCTGGTTTTATGTATTAATAGTTAGTACTTTATAGTCACTTGAATCTCTCTGACCTACCAATGATGATATCACTCTGACTGGGGTGATTCTGAAATCCCAATGGAATTACATCGGGGATAAATTCACTCTGAGGTGTTTATAGCTTTCATTTGGATTGTTGTGTACAACCGTCACACAAGGCTTATGCACACATCACACAATGCTATTCTCCATTGTGCTAAAGGGCCACAATATTATTAATGGAAGGTAATTTTTATGATGAATGTGCTAACAATCAGCTTTGGAGCTATACAAAACACAAAAAAGCTCATTCCCTAAAAATTACCATGTCTCAGCTCAGAGTAGGCTGAAAGGCATAAGTGCTCTGTCAAATACAACTGCCTCTGTGCATTAGTGGAGACAACTGTAATATTATTATGCAGTAACTGGTACGCAGCAGTTTGGCTTTGCATCACTAATGCCATTGCTCTGAATGCAGCCACTC